TCTGTGATTTCTTTTTACATTTTTTAAAGGCTGGGGGAAAAAAAAAACACAGAACAAGGCTTATTGGTGACATGTGAAAATTATATGAAATCTGAATTTCTGTAAAGTTTTATTGGAACACAGCCATGCTCTTTCTTTCCTGTATTTTCTGTGGCTGCTTTCGTGCCATAATGGCAGGGCTGAATGCTTACAACAGACACTGTATGTCCTGTAAAGCCCAAAATATTGACTGTCTGGCCTTCTACAGAAAGAGTTTGCCAACCCCTACTCTAAACCATTGGTGTGCAACTCTGGTTGCACATTGGAATCACCTGGGGATTTAAATAATACTGATGTCTGAGTTCCACTGCCATAGATTCTGATTTAATTAATCTGGACTGCAGCCTAGGATTTGAAATTTTTAATATCTGTCCAGGTGATGTTAAATTGAAGCCAGGGTTTAGAATCATGACTAAACCCACCTCCATAGTTAAGCCAGAGTGGGTTTTCTAGTGCATGGTCATCTAATGTCACTCTCCTCTTTAAAAACCTTCAAAGACTCTCTAATGCTCAGAGAATCAAGTCTCAAGTACTGCATTAGGGCTTGTCCACATTTTCCCCACCAACACCAAAGACAATGTTTTGTTCCTGAAAGATTCTGCATTGCCTTAAGTCCACATATTGTGAATGCTACCCCTTTTGCCTGGAATACCTCCCTTACCATCTCCATGTAGTAAATTCGTTCTGAAAAGTCCAGTTCACAGATCACCTCTCTCACACTGGATTCTCCCAAACAGAAAGGACCTTTTTAACTACGTGCTTGCACAGATCTCTACCACTTTCACTGTGTGCCAACACCTCTTTGTGCCTTGCATATGGAAGCTGTTCAATAAATGCTGCCACCCCAAAGTCCCACAACACTTTGGTTTTACCTTCCCTGAGCCTTCTAGTCTCTCAAACTATCCACGCAAGTAAACTTTTCCCGCCAGGCTCTCAATTCATGACACAACACTTCAACTTTAGTAACCTCAGTTTCCCATTCCTTTGTCCTTCATTCTCTCTACAGACTCTTGCTCCCCACCTTATATTAATCCACTCACTGGCCCTGAGCAATGTGAATACCACCTGTGCACTCCAGCCATCTTGGTACCCCTTGGTCATTCCTCTGTGAGTAGACAGTCAGCTGCTATTCTGATTCCACATAAGAGCCTTCCAACCAATTTTTTCTGTCTCTATTCTCACTCTCTGTATCTAAAATACATTCTCTGAGCTCTAAAACTTAGTCATTGAATGACACATTAATTCATTTGACACACTTACTACATGTCCATTATGCTGCAGGGACCACACTAAGCCCTGGTGAGAGAGAAAGCAAGCCAAACAAGGCTAACAAGCTTTTTGGGAGAATAAACAATTACTATACTCAACCAGCAACCAGGCACACAGTTAGTACTTAAATGTTTGCTGAATGAACTTCAAAAATTCTGGGTATTAATATTTAGTATTAATACTGCTCGCCAAGCGCCTGTGCCAATGAATGACCTGTTTATGATTCTTATAGATTACTAAATCAAATGCAAATTTATTTTATGTTGAAATTATTTTTATAATTATAACTGGTACTTCAAGATAATTATAAAAACTCCAGAATTTGAAACTTGTTTCCCATGGGATTTTGCTTTTGAGTTAATTTATGTTTTATGCATAAATTTTTTCAACATGTCTGCCTTCTCTCATAAAACTTGCTCCTTCCTCTAACAGGTTATATATAGGATAGGGAAATGACAGTATCCAGTATCTTTTACTGTATATAAGAATATTAGGAAAGGACAAAATCAACAGCTATATAACATGGATTACGCTTACCTTAAAAATAAACAAGTAAATAAAACAACCAGTAATAGCTCAGAATATAGATTCCTGATTTGCTCCCCATATATTAGACACTAGTTTTTATAACATACCAAACACTTAGTAGAATGAAAATAAACACTATGTTCCCACCAAAGTCCTCCTCCCTTTGGTTACTTTGAAGCTAAGCAGTTTGACAAAGAAAAAAGGTTTTAATCAAATTCCTATTAAATTTTCTTTCACACCATTTTAGTACATCTAGACCAATTCATAAATATAAATATTACTCATTCATGAAAAGGTTTCACTGTTATTTCTAAAATTTAAAAGTCCTTCGACACATGACAAGATAACTATTCTCACAGTGATATTTTAGAAGGATTAGCAGTTAAAACTCTCGAAGTCTGTCCTATCATCACAACCAGCAAATTGTGTGGGGCAACAAATGTGCTTCTATGTATGACAGTTTTTATTTTTGTCTTCAAAGTTTTACTATGTTATAAATTATCTGAAATTAGGGAGAGGCTGGAAACAATTGGTTTTATTTAACTTTTTCCTGCTTGCTTAGTAATCATGTCTGACATCTGTAAATTATTTTAGTAAAGACATTATACAATTAAATAAAAATCAAAAGTAGGGAGTCATATTAGAGATGTAATTGAGAGTAATATTTTGGAAGTGGACAAAATAAATGCAGTATGGGTTTTTCTAATTAACATCCTGGAGTTTTATGTATTTCTCTATTGTCATTATGTATTTCTCTTCCTTTTATTTATTTATTTATAAAGAGATGGTAATGTGCCTTAACTATATCTAACAGTCAGTGAGGATGAGCTTGGGAACTCAACATTGTGAAATACAGAATTGTATGGTGTGGCTCTGCACAAACTCTATTAATGCTCAGAGCCTCAGACCAGGTTCCAGAGGCTAATCCACACAGCCCCCAAGGGGTAAAATGATGAAAAAGAATGGAAAAAACTAAATTTCTCTGACCCACAGATAAGCTGCTATACAGTTCTAAAAACTGATCAGAACCAATGCATCTCGTTTATGACCCTGAATAACCCTGGTGTCACCCCATTTGAAGAGAAGCTTGAAAATTGTTCTGTGTCAGTTATTGCTGCATCTCTAGATAAGCCCACAACTCGTTTTTATTATGATTCCATGACTGGGACCTGGAAGGTCAGACATGACAATGTAGGTTTGATAACGCTCCTACTTTCTACATCTAATTTAGCACCTACTGTAAAAATCATTTCTATCAGCAATGCAATCATCACTGATATCTCCCTCTATCCCATCACACTAATAATAAGAATCTAAAATTCATTTCAGGGGTGGCTGGGCTTTTTGACCTATCTTCTCCTCAAGTACTACGTCAAAAATAGACTTATTTTTTGTTCCATATATTAAGCATACACATTTTCTTTTTTATCTTTGGCCTTTACGATAAAGGAGTCTTTATCTGATAACGAGAAGACAATTTAATATACAGCTCAATCTTCTCCATGCTTTCGTCCTCATGTCACTCTAGAAATCAGTCAATTCTTTTTTTATGTTATAGAGCAAGGTAACTGCACAGATAGCCAGTGGATGAAAATTTCCGAGGTGGGCTCTAAGCAAGCAATATTTTCAGCCACTGGCAGGAAGGGTACAGGAACATATGTGTATAGGGATGTGGGAAGAGGGACAGTGTTTGAGGTCCTCGGAAAGCACATTAAGCCCAAGGCAGGAAGAACATGAAGTAGCTGAGGTGTACCTTGTGCCCATTCTAACACTTGAGACAACTCTTGTTATATATAATTCAGAATAGCTTTCAGAGAAATTAACTCATGTTCACATAGTAAGGGAAAAATGCCCAGATTGTGGGTACCAGATGACAAACCTGACAATTTTAAATAATGAGAAATTAGGTAGAATGTGATGCTTCAACTAAGTACACCACCACAGACCTTCCTGGGGGCTGAAGTACTGCTATCTCATCAACTGGGTTCTCCATTCTTAGCGGGTCTGTGAGCATCACTGGAAGCATATTCTCAGGGCTTAGAGAAGGCCTGTCCGTCTGCCTCGGGATAC